ACTGGCAATGAAATACCGGATGTTCAATGAATACGCATCTGAATGTGGTGAGGGACGATTGCAAAATTGATAAGATCGTTTTAATGAATACTTTACACTTGTTTGTTGGTTAACACTCTGGCCGTTCGGTTTAAAAATTTGCGTTGTGACGCACTGTTCAGTTAGTAGACATCTGCCATCGAGCATTCATTTGTACTTTGCCATGTCCTAATGATGCTATGATCTATTTAGTAAAACGCATCGGCGGTAAAGTGTTTTACCATTTGCAGTGTTCGGTGCACTGAACTATGAATCGTTCAAACACTCACCAAATGAAATTCATTTGTTACTTTACACCGATACTGTAATGATGTCAGGCACATGAAGATCTTACACTAGGAAACACCGCTGTATTACACTTCCCCTTGTTTCTAGTAGCCTAGGGCGACCTAGAGTTTTGATTTTGCTCATTTTTCAATTAATGATACCACATTCATCTTCGGCTTCCATGGCAGCTTCTCCTTTCGGGTCGCCGCGGCAGACGGCTCAGACGGAGCTTCCAAGTTTCCCGATTGCGTGCGAGAGTATGAGGTTCTGCAGAAGACAACTGGAATCTGCAACAGACTCCTTCCATATATTTGCACCAGCTTAATCTTTGCCCTACCCTCGACCTTCTGCCTGTCGGTTCGCCGGCAAGAAACAGTTGCTTAGCCTCTCTTTCTGGACGCATTCGAAGCATATTCCAAAACCATCGTACCTGTGGCGTCTATAACTGGAGATGCAAGAGCTGTGCACCAAGCATTTGGCGGATGTCTGTATTCCGGACCATTCCCGGCCAGCGACTCGTCTAAGAAAGCCAGTTTCAGCAGCTTCTACCCGGGGTCGAAGATTTTCAGTCATGGTCAATGACTGACCCATAACCGTAGGTAAGCATGGTGATAAAGATCGATTTGAACAGCGAGAGATTAGTTTTCAGACTCAGCTTTGTTTAATCACAATGGATCGGGCTGATTCACGCAGAACACCCCTGGCTGCTCTAATTCGCCTATCGATCTCTTCCTCTAAGCTTCCATCACTAAGAAACACAATTCCGAGGTACTTCAACCTCTCCACCTACACCACTGTATATCCGTTAATCTAGTCCATTAGAGCAACCCTAGGCTTTTCGTTTTAGATGCGTTTACACCCATGCCGGTCACGTGGCATTCGGCTGCGAACCTCTCTAGAGAGCACTGAAGGTCAGTTTCAGAAGATGCTAATAAAACAAGCTCGTCTGCAAACAGCAACCTTCTCATCTTCACATCTCCTACACCGATACCCTCATCGTCTTGACAGCTCCTGATTATTCTATCCATGTACAACACAAACAGGAGAGGGAACGGGACGCAACATTGGCGGAGACCAGTGCGAACTTTGAAATGTTTCGACTTAACTGACGTAGCACTTGCAATGAAAATGCAGCGATTGAGTGGCTCTTAGCAGCTGGCCATCGATCCCGTATCCTCGAAGGAATGACCACGGACTGTCGCGTGGGATCCTGTCATAGGCTTTTTCTAGGTACACCGCATCGGCGTACTTCCACGATTTTTCAGCACTTCGGCGCAGGACAAATATATGGTCAGATGTGCTTCGACCGCGCCTTAAGCCACACTGACCTTCTTGTATCTTGAGGTCATCTATTTCATGGCACCTCCTTTCTAGCACCTTTGCTTAGACTTTATCTGGGAGGCTCAATAATGTAATGCCTCTATAATTGCAGTACTCGTTGTGGTCTCCCTTCTTGAAAAGAGGCACAATAACTCCCGTTCTTCAGTCCTCTCGCAGTTTCACAGACACATATAAGCCAGCACATGCCTTGTTCACCTAATGCCTTGAGCATATCAAGGCGGGTTTCATCAATTCCAGCAGCCTTTCCATTTTTTAAGCTTTAAACAGCATCTATAAGTTCATCTACTAAAATCGTGATATCCGTTCTCTGCTGCTCTACACGCGAGTCTTTCTACTGTTGCATGGGTTTAAAGAGTTCCTCAAAGTACTCCTTCCATTGCCGAACAATGTCATCATCCTTGGTAAGAGGGTGCCTAGGCCTGTCTTTCAAGAGTTTGAAACTGCCCTTCTTTTCACCTCGGAGTCAGCGGATAGTCTGCCAGAAAACTTTCTTTACCATGTGGAAATTCCATTCCAACACCTCACCGAACTTCTTTCCGGAATCAGCTGAGCTTTCGCCACCGCTTTCACTACCCGCTCGCGTGCCTCGACATATCGCACGTAAGTAGAACGCTCTTTGTTTCCAAGCCATTTCCTGAGCGCTGCCGTTTTTCTTTAACTGTCAGTTGTACCTCTCGTGTCCACCAGGATGATCTTTCCTGACCTCCAGGCATCAGGCCAATCCGTTTAAAATCAATTTTTCAACCTTAAGGATTCGCTGTCCTTAGTTGATGGTTGTCTGATGTATGAAGAAAGAGTGGTTATTCCGGCACCGCTTCAAGCCTCCGTCTTTCGCCAGCTACACCACGCTCATCCCGGTGTTAGCCGAATGGCGTGGAGTTGATGCCGATATTGAGAACCTAGTTCGGAACTGTCATCAGTGTCAGTTAGCAGCCGAATCTCCTTGCAAAACTGAACTGTTTTCCTGGCCTCAAGCCGAGCATCCTTGATCACGCGTTCATATTGATTACGCTAGGTATCCAGAAAGTTCACCGACCCGCAATTCGTCGAAAGGAAAATTCACCGATTCTGCAACTGATTGCCGATGATTTATTTTTGATGATCATAAAACAGTATTATTTAGACAGAACATATTTGAAAGATTATGTTAACGAGCAAAATAATTACCGTAGTATTACCTACTCACACAAAAACAAATTTTATCTAATGCATTTATTTAGAAATAGCTTATATGAAAGATTAGTAATTACCATGCTTCACCCCTATATAAAGAAAATTCAGTTTCAAAAAATATTCTTCGAATGTGATACTTCAGTTACGAATTTTCATTAAACAGCATGGCCCTTAAGTTCGTCACGAGTGAAAAGGGAAAACAGAAACTTTTGTGGACAGTCACTTATTTTTTAAAGAAAAATAAGCTCACAAGACATATTGGAAGTGTGAGATTATCAGAAGCACAAGTGCCGGGCTCGAGTAATAACGGTCGGAGATGCCACTGAGGCCGTGAAGGCAGTTCATAGCCATATTGGGGATGCTGCTTATATAGAAGCTCTGAAGATGGAGGATGTTTCACGTAGTCATGCAAGAAATAGCCAAGAAGCAGCCCAATATATTATATCTAATGCCTCTATGGAAATTGGCCAAGCTGCTGCAGGACATATTGCGAAGACCGAGAGGGGAGTATCAAAAGAACGATCCGAAACATCAGAATAAGAAAACAAGCTACACCAGCTTTAACTATGACCAGACAGAAAATGTGTTTCCCATAGAGTACAAGATATCTACAGAAGCTAAACCGTTTCTGCTATTTGATTCAGGACCGACGGGAGATGGAATTGTTATATTTTCCACCGCAAGAAATCTCCGTTTACTGTGCTTATCTGAACTTTGGTTTGGGCGTGGAACTTCTAAAGCAGTGCCTCATATGTTTTACCAACTCTACACATTCCATGGTATTCAGGCTTTCAATTCCGCTTTTGTATGTTCTACTACCAGACAAGACAGAGGCTACATTTGTTGGGTAAACAGGTTCAACATGATGCTTCCCCAGAAACAATTATAGATTTCGAACCTGCCATAGTCAGTGCTATTAGTCAAGAATTTCCAAGGGCTACACGGAGAATGTTTCTTCCATTTTTCGCAGTGTATATTCCGAAGGATTCCGACAGAAAATCTTCAGAGAAGGTACGAAACTGACGTCGAATTTGCTATGAGAATGCGACTGTTGTCTGCTTCAGCCTTTGTCCCAACAAACGATGTGGCAGACGCATTTGAGGTTCTTAGCGGTAGCGGCTATAAGATGCTTGAAGAAGCACAAGGCGTGATTGATTTCTTTGAGGACTGTTGGACTGAACTTCCTCAACGATGGGTGGGACGCAGAATGTCCCGGTTCTCCATAGAAATGTAGAACTGCCACGAAGGAGTAAGACACCGTCTTCCGAAGATAAACAATTCAATTGAAGGATGGCATCGTGGATTCGAAATGCAGATATCTGCACAACACTCTACTGTAATATTTGGAGGATTATTGAAGTGATTCAGCGTGAGTAGCGCATCAGAGCATTACAAATAGAACAGTATGTGAGTGGTCAACAAGGTAATCCTGCGCATAAGAAACATTGGGATTGCGCTGAGACTTTTCAGAGTGGTTGCGAATTATAACAGAAATAATGTATTAGAGCTTTTGAGAGGTATGACGCATAATATAAATTACTAATTAGGTATTGCAGTAACAACATATTTGTATACATGTAAATAATATTTCAGCAGTCTTTTTTTTCGGTTAATTTATTTTAATGAAATCTGTTTTATTCAAAATTTACAGGTAACTACATCATTATCATTTTCAGGTAAGTTAATTCAAAATCAGCACATTTGAATTAGAAATATTGACAGTACTTTATGGTATGAAATAAATTAATTTTTTCACGTTTCATGGCTTTTAATAAATAAATCATCGGCGATCAATTGTAGAATCGGTGAATTTTCTGGGCTGGTCGTTGAATTTTCCAGTCGGTGAATTTTCCTGGATCCCTTTCGCTCGTCGTCATTTCATTTCTTAGTCGCTGTCGACTCATTTTCCAAATGGCCTGAAGTCCTCATTACCGACAAAACGACAGCACCAACAACTGTTCGCCTCCTCAGTGAAGTTTTCGTTCATTTTGGAATACCCGAAATTGTCGTCTCCGACAGTGGGACCCAGTTCATTTCCACTGAATTCCTGGACTTCTGCATGTCTAACGGTATCAAGCACATCATATCCCCACCGTTCCATCCCCAGTCCAGCAGTCAAGCAGAACGCTTCGTGGATACATTCAAGCGTGCTATCCAAAAGGGTGATGGAAATCTTGCACAGAAACTCCAGTCCTTCTTGCTTCCTTACTACTCTACGCCAAATCCTGCAATTAGTGGTCGCACACCAGCTGAAATACTGTTTGATCGTCCATCCGCACTAGTCTCAGTCTACTACACCTCAGATCAACCGCATCAGGCGGCCCACGCAGCCAGAAAATGGAACGACAGTTGAATAACCATCACAAGACGCGGCCTTGTCAATTCCAAAACGATCAGCTCGTCTATATCAAGGAGTACCATCGTGGTTTCAAACCAATCTTGTCTCCGGCTCAACTTCTTCGACGTAGCGGTAACTGTCTTTATTATGTCTGCAGTCAGGGCAAAATTTTCCGAAGACATGCCAGTCAAGCCATTCCACGTGCTAACCGCCCCAGCCCGGCGCCTCATCCACT